TTCGGGCAGTCGGGGTCTTTATGTGTCTCATCCTGAGCAGCTAGCCTGCAGTGCCCCACCAGATCATTTTAGTACACCTCCGATCCAGAGTTATCAGAGTGGTCACCCAGGTCAACATAACCAGTTCCAAGGTCAGCAGTCATAGCTACCGAGGGCTTATTATACTTGTGGGGATTTGAGGCACCTTGCTAGATCTTGTCCCAGATCACAGGGCGGCATGCAACAATAGGGTTCTCGTGCCATGATTCCAGCACTGGTTTCTCCACCGCCTGCTCAGCCAGCTAGAGGCAGGGGCCAGACAGCTAGAGGTGGAGGTCAGGCCGTTAGAGGTGGAGGCCAACCAACTAGAGGCCATCCTAGAGACGTAGGTCAGAGTGGTAGGGCCCAACCCCGATTTTATTCTTTCCCAACTAGATGTGAGGTCGTCATCATAGGTATTGTTCTAGTTTGCCATAGAGATGCTTCAGTCCTATTTGATCCGGGTTCTACTTATTGCTATGTGTCTTCCTATTTCGCTTCATATTTGGTTGTTCCTCGTGATTCTTTAAGTGCTCCTGTGTATGTGTCCATACATATGGGAGATTCTATTGTTTTAGATCGTGTCTATCACTCGTGTGTGATTAATATTGGGAGTCTTTAGATTAGTGTAGATTTTCTACTTCTTGATAGGGTATATTTTGATATTATCTTAGGTATGGATTGGCTATCACCTTATCATGCTATACTGGATTGTCACGCCAAGATGATGACCTTAGCCAGGCCAAGATTGCCTCAATTAGAGTGGATAGGGACTCCTGACCATTGATGACGTCCACAATACACTTTTATAGGAGATATGATGCGGTCGTATCCAATAATAATTACCCAACTATGAGTCGGGGTTGAATCCACTGGGAGTTATGAGAGGTGTTAGGAGTATATATTTGAAGCAAGCAAATGGGTTATCTAAGATTCCACTTCCACAACAAGCTTTTGTTTTCTATTTCTACTATTACTATAATGAATGCAAGCTAAAAAAAAAATATTATAGATAAATATTTTTGAGGTTTTTCCAATTGGATTAAAGTAAAGGCCTAGGATTATTACCATAACCTAGGTATTTTCCTAATGGAATAAAGATGTTTGTACTTGTTTTGTTGATTGGGGTGTATTATAGCTATCAACTCCACGTTACCCACTCAATACCTCTCGGTCAAAGAGTGATTTTGCCCAATTTGGCTTTCCCAAGTCCAAATGGGTGTCAATCAAAACAGTTGATAAGAGCTTAAGTCGAGTTCTTACCATCTCTAGTGTGAACCCTTTAATTAGGGTAATCAATCTCTCAATTAACCCAATTCCTTGTTAGCTAAGTTATCCTAGACTAGGTCTCTCTTTCTCAAATAGGGGCTAAGTCAAATAGGCACGAATCAATATTTTTAACCATTAATTCTAATATTGAAGCATGAACTAAGCTAAATAATCAACACCCAATCATAAACAAATATAAAATTAATCACACATAAGGTATACACACTAGGGTTGGGTTACAACCCTAATAAAAATCTAGCTACTCATAATGGGATTTGAATAAGAAAAAGATGAAAAGCTAATTAAACGCATAATGAAAGATCAAAATGATGAAATCTAAAGTTAAAAAAATACTCAAATAAGCTAAAACTTCCTAAAATAACAAAGAGAAATGGCTATAATAGTTGTGTATGTTCAAACTTGACCTAATTTTCTGAAACTCGCCTATTTATACAGGGCCAAAAAACGAGGATAAAAATACCCCTCGGGAGGTTCTGCGGCCGCACAATTCCATCTGTGGTCCGCAAATTTCTTCAGTTGGCAGGTAAGTGAGCTCTGTGGATGCACATTTCTGGACTGCGGCCGCGAGGCAATGTTCTGTGGCCGCACAGTTCTTGTTCGGTCCGCACTTTACAAAGGATCCTAGACGTGGTATTTTTGCATACTCTCTGATATTTGACTCTTAAACCTAGTACTGCGGCCGCACAATTCATGTGCGGTCTGCATATTGCTGAAAGTCCTGTTGGGTATTTCTTCTTGGTTTGCGGTCGCAGGTGGAATTCTACGGTCCGCAATTTCTTCTACGGCCGCAAAATTCCTTCCGCGAACAACACATTTGTGCTTCTACGCCTTTTATTGCCTTGTGCTTCGGAACACTCCTTATTGAGACGGATTTCATCTCGGGAGACCAAACTTCCAACATTCCTACAATTTGCACAATTTCATTAGTTTTGGGAACACAACTCCATACGTTCGGACTAAAACGAAAGTTAAAAGGTGCTAATAAGTAGTCAAAATCCCCACTTATCATCCATTCTACCATAAGGTATATTTCTTATGTCAAGACTCGGCGTATGGTCAAGAAGAAATGTCTAGCTTATTTGGCCTATGTTCGTTATTCGAGTACGGAGGTTCCTTCCATGGATTCAGTACCAGTTGTGCCTGAGTTTCCAGAGGTGTTTCTTGCAGATTTATCGGAGATGTCACCCGGTAGGGATATAGACTTCTATATTGATTTAGCTCCAGGCACTCAGCCCATTTCTATTCCACTATACCATATAGCCCCGCCGGAGTTGAAAGAATTAAATGAGCAGTTGTAAGATTTATTTGAAAAGGGATTCATTAGACCTAGTATCTCGCCCTGGGATGCGCCCCTATTATTTGTGAAGAAGAAAGATGGCTCGATGAGGATATGTATAGACTATCGGCAGTTGACCAGAGTCACTATCAAGAATAAGTATCTGTTTGTGATGATTGATGACTTATATGATCAGCTTCAGGGTGCCAAGGTATTTTCGAAGATTGATTTCAGATCTGGTTACTATCAATTGAAGATTAGGGCATTGGATATCCTTAAGACGACTTTCCGTACTCGGTATAGGAATTATGAGTTCTTAGTGATGTTATTTGGGTTGATAAATGCCCCAACAACATTTATGGATTTGATGAATAGGGTGTTCAAGCCTTATTTGGATTCTTTTGTGATTGCATTTATCGATGATATCTTGATCTACTCCCGCAGTCGAGAGGAGCATGAGCAACATCTTTGGATTGTACTTCAGACCCTTAGGGATAGTAAGTTATATGCCATATTTTTAAAGTGTGAGTTTTGGTTAGACTTAGTCACCTTTTTGGGGCATGTGGTATCGGCAAAGGGAATAAAGGTGGATCCTAAGAAGATTGAGGCAGTTCAGAACTGGCCTAGACCTACTTCAGCTACAAAGATTTGGAATTTCCTAGGTTTGGCGAGTTATTATTGCTGGTTTGCAGATGGGTTTTCATCCATAACAACCACATTGACTAGATTGACCTAGAAGGGTGCTCCATTCAGGTGGTCAGATGAGTGCGAGTTGAGCTTTTAGAAGCTCAAGACTGCTTTGACTACGACGCTAGTGTTGGTGTCACCCACATGTGTAGGATCCTACACGGTGTATTGTGATGCATCTCGTTTTTGGCTCGGTGCAATATTGATGCAAGATGACAAGGTGATTGCATACGCGTCGTGAAAGTTGAAGGTTGATGAGAAGAATTACCTAGTTCATGATCTAGAGTTGTTCATGCGCTGAAGATTTGGAGGCACTATCTTTACGGCGTGTTGTGTGAGGAATTCACGGATTATCGGAGTCTACAGTATTTGTTCAAGCAAAAGGATCTCATCTTGAGGTAGAGGATGTGGTTGGAGCTGTTGAAAGACTATGATTATCACCATTTTGAATCATCCCGGAAAGGCCTATGTGGTGGATGATGCCTTGAGTAGAAAGGCTATGAGTATGGGTAAACTTGCGTACATTCCAGTTGGGGAGAGGCCGTTAGCATCAGATGTTCAGGCTTTGGCCAACCAATTTATAAGCTTAGATGTTTCGGAGCCCAGTCATGTTCTAGCTTGCACAGTCGCTCGGTCTTCTTTGTTTGAGCGTATCAGAGAGCGTCGGTATGATAACCCCTATTTGTTTGTCCTTAAGGACACAGTGTGGTGCGGCGGTGCCAAGCAGGTTACGGTTGGAGATGATGGGGTTTTGCGGATGCAGGGTCGTATTTGTGTGCCCAATGTGGATGGGTTTCTTAAGTTGATTCTTGAGGAGGCCCACAGTTCCTGCCAAGATGTATCAGGACTTGCGGCAACATTATTGGTGGAGGAGGATGAAGAAGTATATAGTTGAATATGTAGCTCGGTGTCTGAATTATCAGCAAGTAAAGTATGAGCATCAAAGTCTTGGTGGTTTGCTTCAGATGCTAGAGATTCCTGAGTGGAAGTAGGAGCGTATTACTATGGATTTTGTTGTTGGGCTCCCATGGACTCAGAGGAAGTTCGACGCAATATGGGTCATTGTGGACAGGTTGATCAAGTCGGCATATTTCATTCCTATGGTAGTTACCTATTCTTCAGAGTGGTTAGCCGAGATCTACATCTGCGAGATCGTCCGTCTTCATGGAGTGTCCATCATTTCTGATTGAGGTACACAGTTCACCTCGCACTTCTGGTGGGCCGTATAGCATGAGTTAGGCATACGGGTTGAGTTGAGTACATCATTTCACCCTCATACGGTCGGACAATTCGAGTGCACTATTCAAATACTGGAGGATATGCTTCGCGCTTGCATTATGGATTTCAGGGGTTCTTGGGATCAGTTCTTGCTGCTTATGGAGTTTGCCTACAACAACAGCTACCAGTCGAGCATTCAGATGGCTCTCTATGAGGCACTGTATGGGAGGCGATGTCGTTCACCTATTGTATGGTTCGAGTAGGGAGATGCTCGGTTGTTGGATACCGATTTGGTTCAAGATGCATTGGAAAAGGTCAATATTATTCAGGATCGGCTTCGCACAACTCAATCTACTACTGGAAAATGAACCTATGGCAACAGTTATTTAGCAACGGTTACTAAACTGTTGCCATAGAAAATCTATGGCAATGTTTATAACCGTTCCTATAGACCGTTGAACCTATTAGGACACTTATTAAAATAAATCGTTGCATTATCAGAATAACTGTTGCCATAAATTAATCTATTGTGATGGTTTGTGTAACCGTGGTAGTAGGCTATTCTGTGGTAATGGTTATCTGAAAAAATATACTTTGGCGACCATCAATGTTTCCCACCTCGTTTTCCCTCCCTAAATTTCATTAAACCCTATCAGTCCCTCATTCTTATTTTAAGTGGCCTAGTTTTGTTATTTTATTTTAACCCCAATAAACACCCAAAATCCCTTATTCTATAGGCGCTTCGTAAATGTCCAAACACCCAAATATCAGATATTATCATCTCTTCTCCTCCTCCATCAATGAGATAGCCTCCTTCTCCAACGCTAGCTCTTCACTCTCTAATTTTACCAACTGGGTTTTCCTCTATTGACCCAAATTGGATTCTCTTAGGGCTTATGTTTCTCTTGCCCAAGTCTCCTTTTGTCCCAACAGGTTCTTATTTTAATTCCTTATTGCTTATTTTATTCTCTGTTGCTTATTTTATTCTCTGTAGCTATATTGATTGATAATAAGGAAAAAAGTATACTGGATTTTCTTGTTTCTTGTTGATTCTTTCTTCCTTACCTTTTTTTTTTCTAATAATTTTTGTTCGAAAAGAGTAATTTTTGGTTGTTGGGGTTGAAAATTTGCTAACAATTAAGAGTTGTGTATGGAGTAGATATTTTTTGGTCGTCTACTGCTATATCCACTAATAGAGCTGTAAGATAGTATTGGTCGAATGATTGGATTGTTCTTATGTAATTGACTGTAGTATCATTTAGAGTGATATTATTTTGTTTTTCTGCCTAAGTGATATGAGAATCATAGAAGGTAACAACATGAGATTAGTACAATTTTGTACTCCTCGTTTAGTCTCTCTATTTGTTTAAAACTCAACGAAGGTAAAAGAGGCAAACTTGTTCAACTATGTTCAAAGAAGTATGTTTTGCTTGGGTAAAATTGGGTTGTTACAAGATGAGATTAGTATGGTAAAATCGTATACAATCTTAATTGGTTTGTATCTTACTAAAGTAGGATGTATGCTCATTTCTAGATAAAAACTTTCTTCTTATCTTAAAGAAGAAAGACCTACAAAAGGAAATAGGGTAAAAGAGCTGGGTGTTTTTCTACTTTCTATATTTTAAAGATTATGAGTTAAACTTTTGTCATCTACTTCATACAATAACATTGTCACTGCTATGTCTTGATGTGAATCGACAACCTCTCAGTCCCTTGTCTTCTCTATCTGTTTGAAGTTTAGGTTTACTCCAATTTAAAGATATCGTAATTGCATTTTGGCTTTTGATTATTTATTCAATATTCATTGGAGAACATAGTCATAATGTTGACCTAATATTCCTGCATTACAAATGTTTTTCAGGTTCAAGTAGAATATGATTTATTTGGTCTTACAAATTTTTATTCTATTATGTATATTGTCTTATAAAGTTTTATTGTGTTGTGCATCATTTTAATATAAATGAATTAAGACCTAGATCTTGTAGCTTTGACAAGCTTCCATAACAGTAGAAGTTGAGTGTTCGTGATCTCTAAAGTAGAACTTTAGTATAAATGTTGACAATTATTGTTCCTAATCTCTCCATTTATTTGCCAATTGAGTAAGTTGAGTGTTTTGATACCTGATAGTTTCTATGGTGTGCTTAGTTTTGGCAGGATTTCTAAAAGCAATTCGTGCTTTCCTTTGCTTTTGATTTTATTCTTGCACCATTTACTTATTGACATTTTCCGCGTTTAGCTGTAGGCCTTGATTTCCAGCACCGTTAAAAAGTGAAACCATAATATCCAATAGGCTGAAACAGTGTGAGCCTTCTATTTTTAAGTTTCCAGTGTCATTTACTTAAATCTAGCCTGTTCTTCACTTTTTTGGGAATAATGTACATGGTATAACTGTAATATGAGTAAATTCTCAGGAAATAGAAGACTATAGTATTCTCTATACATGCTTTCCATAATTCACAACACGTGGAAAGCTACAATGTGGGAATGAATGACAACATAGTAGTCTAAAGTCAAATAATCTCGAGGTAACGGCTTAGTAAAGAAGTTACAACACGCACCATCGTGACCATTGCTCTGTACTCCTCGTGTTAACTTTGCGTAGAAAGGGAGAAGAAAAATTAAATAGAGATTGACCGCATTGACTACAGAATTAATATTTAATACCTAGCAATCTTCTTAATTTGTTTATGGTATTAGCTACTTGTGTCTTGATTACCTACATGTATTGGTCTTTTGGACTGCAGTAGGTTGATATCACAACAGTTGTTTTTGTTGCGATGAAAATGTTAGTCCGTAGCAAGCTGTAGTCGTAGAAGATAATGAATGACTACTGTGTTTGTCCAACCTATTGCAAGTTTTTAGCACGATGAAATAATTTACTACCTTATATAGCTATACATGTTCTTTACTCCCAGTTAAGAGGAACAAGTTCAAGAATCCGAAATATGTCCGAATGGATCATTCATGTTTGGGTGAAGTGATAACGCTCGTTAAAAAGTGTGCCCTTTCCAGTATTATCATAATTCTTTTGGGCAAATAGATAACATGGAGCTTCCATTTTCATGGTGTCCATTGTTAGTTTGATATGAGCTATGTTGCAATGTTTTTTCGAAGTCAATATTGCAAAAATTCTGTTTTGATATGTATTTTGCTTGACTGTTTTTGCTATGCTTCGCATGGAATGTATCCACTTTAGATTGTTACTTGCAAAACAAATGAAAAGTTGAAAACTGTTAGTTTGGTTGGCTACCGAAACTGTTAGATTGTTCATTTGCTTATGTTTTTATGTTTGAGTTGGTTCAAAATGAGAAAAGCACACAACTCTCAGTTTTCCTGAATCCATATGCTTACAAGTTTGGTTTTGATGATTTAGATTTTTTACTAAACTTTGGCTTCTTCATTTGTGTGAAATTGTTTCTTTCTCTTGGAAACTTTGTACTTTATGCATTGTTCATGGACTATACCCATTCTTATAATGGTAAACCAACCCTTGAAGGGTAATAACTTTATTTATCCTCTTTTGTAGGTGGAGCAATTGAAGAAAGGGAAGATGGAGATCGTGAAGATCTAGACCTTACTTAAGAAGAACTTTGAATTGTTGTCGATGTTCTAGGAGTCTTTTGTTATCAACATTTGAAACTTTAACTTTTGAAGTGTTGAACTGTAAAACTTATGTAATTGGGTTAAAACATTTTGCTATTATGGTTATTATTAGCTTATTGGAACGTATAGATTATGAAGAGTTTTATCTTTTTATTTATATAATTTTCAGGTTATTACAAATAGTTACATATGTAAATGTCATTTACAATCAGGGCAATAATGTCAATTAAACTGTTACAATAGCCTAATAGAATCGTTGCAATAAGCACAAATGCTATTGCCATAGACAATCTAAATTGTTCTACTAGGTCTTGCAAACCGTTCCAAAAGTACGACAAACCGATGCAAATGGCAATTATAACTGATGCAATAGAAAGAAAACCGTTACAGTAGCGTAATAAAACTGTTAAAATATATATAAATAAACGTTGCAATAGCTTGCACAACCGTTGCAATAAATTAAATGGTAACGATTTCCAACCGTTGTAGTAAATAATATGGTAATAGTTTACAACCTTTGCATTAAACTCTATGGTAACGGTTTTAAACCGTTGCTGTTGAAATGAATACTCGTTGCTTCAGACAAAGAAAAAACCGTTGCGATAGCTGGCCCTATAGCAACGATGTAGTGAACCGTCGCAAGAGACGTTGCTCTAGATCTATTGGCACGCGAGCGGATGTAACGGTCGCTAAACCGTTCCAATACATCTATGGTAATGGTTTACCTATCATTTGCAACGATTTTTCTGCCTTTGCCATAGGCTCATTTTCCAGTAGTGATCTAGGCAGAAGAGTTATGACGAACGTAGAGTTTGTAATATTACATTCATGGTTGGAGAGAGGGTATTGCTCCGGGTTTCGCCCTTGAAGGATGTGATGAGGTTCGGAAAGATGGGCAAGTTGAGCCCTAGGTATATCGGACCCTTTAAGATTCTTGAGAGAGTGGGTGACATGGCCTATAGACTGGCATTGCCATCTAGTTTATGAGTAGTCCATCCGATGTTTCATGTGTCCATGCTTCAGAAGTATAACGGTGATCCGTCCCCTGTGTTAGATTTCATCTCAGTCCAATTGGACAAGGATTTGACTTATGAGGAGGAGTCGGTGGCCACTCTAGCTCGACAGGTCTAGCAATTGAGGTCTAAGAGTTATCCTTCAGTTCGACTGCAGTGGAGAGGATAGCCGATCGAGGCAGCCACGTGAGAGTCCGAGTCCAGCATGCGGAGTAGATATCCACACTTTCACCAGTCCAGGTACCTTTCTATGTCCGTTCGAGGACGAACGTTTGTTTTAAAGGTGGAGAGTGTGATGACCTGATAGGTCATTTTCAATTTTATCTTTCATTTCTATGTTCCAAGACCTCGAAAATCTCCATCTAGCCATCCTCGATTTTGCGTGCACAGTACGTGTCTTTTCCGGAAAATATTTTATGTGAAACATTGATGAAAATGTGAATTTAGCCTAAAAATGAATTGAGTTGACTACGGTCAATATTTTGTATAAACGGACCCAGATCAGTATTTTGACGGTTTCAGTGGGTCTGTATTATGATTTGGGACTTGGACGAATGCCTGGAATCGAATTCAGACGACCCTCACTTGATTTAACGCAATTTGTTGAAAACTAGTTATTTGAAGGCTAAAAGAATTTTTAAGTTTGACCGTAGGTTGACTTTATTGCTACCAGGTTCAGGTTATAGTTCCAGAACTTGGTATAGGTTCATTTAAGTATTTATGACTTGTCTGCAAAATTTGGTACAAAACGGAGTTGATTTGACGTGATTCGAACGTGTGGTTGTAAAATTACATGTTCTTGACTTTCTTTAAAAATATCATTCATTTTGAACTTTGATTCATAGTTCTATTTGTTATTTTTGTATTTTGATCGCGCGAGCAAGTTCTTATGATGTTATTACACTTGTGTGCATGTTTAGTTTGGAGCTCGAGGAGCTCCGGTGAGTTTCGAATAGGCTATAGAGTGATTTTTGAATTTAGAAGAATGTTGGTCTTGTTGATATCTGATGCTTAAGATTTTGTGCTCTCGCGATCGTGAAGGGGAATTGGGTTGGGGGAGGAATTTACTCTCTGCGAACGTGAGGAGTTGGTCGCGAACGCGGAGTACTGGGGGGTCTACCCTCCGCAAACGCGACCTGTCCCTCGTGAACGCGTAGTGTTAGGAGGGGGGACTAGGGATTGAGCTATTACTCTATGCGAACGCAAGACCTGGCTCGCGAATGCGAAGGCCAGGGGGGAGAAGCCTTCGTGAACGCGTGGGGGAGTATCGCGAACGCATAAGCCATAGAGTTGTTGTTTATCGCGATCGCTTCAGGCCCTTCGCGAATGCGAAGAAGGCGTGACGCCTAGTCAATTAAATATCCCAAACACGGGATTTCATCCATTTTTACCATCTTCACATTAGAGCTCGTTCTGGAGGCGATTTAGAAGAGAAATTTCATCACCATTTCATAGGTCAGTATACTTTAACTCGTTTTCTTCTATTTCCATCAACACCTATTGATTTTTAACCTTAATTTATGCTCTTTCATGGTAGAAAATTAGAGATTTGGGTAGAATTGGGGGAGGGGGGGAGTGGTTATAAAATTGAGATTTAGACTTCAAATTGAGGTCGTATTTCGAAACGAATTACATAATCAGACTCGGGGTGAATGGATAATTGGGGTTTGATCTGGATCTCGAATTTTGACCAAGCAAGCTCGAGGTTGACTTTTTTCTAAATCATTAAAGGTTGAATCTTTTCACTCACGGGTAGCTTATAAAGCTTATTTTGAATTGTTAGAGCACTATTTGATTAGATTCGATTGGTTTGGAGGTGAATTTTATAGGAAAGGCCCCGGTTGAGCTTTGATTTGATTGCGGAGCAAGGTGAGTGTCGTGATTAACCTTGACTTGAGGGATTATGACTTGTTTGCCTATTTGCTATATGTTTAATGTGTGGGTACAACGTATATGTGAGGTGACGATTACTTATGCATTGTTGTTACGTTAAAGCATGCAGGTGGAACTTGTTTCCTTGTGATCATTTATTGCCTTTCTAATTATGATATCTATGTTTAGGTTAGGTTATTACTTATTTGATCATTTCTCTCATAATTATTTCTTATTTAGTAATTATTAAGTATTTTGGAAGTTGAAGTTGGGTATATTAACATCATATTTGATGTTAAATACATTCTCCGCATTATTTATTTCCCGTATTTATATTATCTTCATTACATGGTAAGGAAGAGTATTAAAGCGTGAATGATGATGCCGTGCCATTGCATTTATCTCATTTATTGATTAATACATAGTGAAGAAGAGAGTTAAAGCACGAAGGGTGATGCCGTACCATTTATATCATTTATTCATTATATTATGGCGAGGAAAGAGAGTAAAAGTACAAAGGGTGATGTCGTGCCATTCATCTCATTTATTCATTGTTACATGGTGAGATCGAGAGTAAAAGGTTACATGGTGAGATCGAGAATAAAAGAAGGAAGAGTGATGCCGTGACATTTTATTTTTACTTATGTCATTATTTTATGGTAAGGATGAGAGTAAAAGAACGAAGGGTGATGCCGTACAATTTATTTTATATCATTGGCTTATCCGTCTTCATTGGTTGATGATTTACTTGGCTATTACATGATGTTATTCCTGCCATAATTATCGTATCCTTCCCCTTTCGCATGTCCCCTCCTAGCTTTTACGTAGTTAATCTCTGCTTTTGTTACTGCTTCATATATATATATATATATATATATATATATATATATATATATATATACACACACACCTGTACAAGTTTATTTATATAGGTGTCCTGTCATAGACCCGTCATTATCTCGTCGAGGTTAGGCTCGACACTTACGGAGTACATTGGGTCTGTTGTACTCATATTACACTTCTGCACTTCTTGTGCAGATTCTGGTATTGGTCCTAGCGGTGCGTGAGGTGTGTGAGGTGTGTCATCTCGGATCATTGCATACGGAGACTGGAGGTAGATCTGCTGGCGTCCGCAGACCTTGAAGTCCCCTTCCTCTATCCTCTTTTACTGTTCATTTCCTTCGAAATAGTTGTATTTATTTCAGACTTTGTTTGTAGAACTTCTTGTTGCTCGTGTACTTGTGATTCTGGATCTTTTGGGGTAGATATTATTACATGACTTATGCTGGTATTGTATTAGATTGGGTTCCTATCTCTCGTTATTTATTATCATTTTCTTTAAACTGTTGAAAATTTGGCTATTTAACTATCTCACATCGATTTGCCTAGCAAGTGGATGTTAGGCGCCATCACGACCCCGAGATTGGGATTCAGGGTCGTCACATTCGCACTTTTAAACTCCATCTTTATCAAGCTAAGCCAAAAAGGATAACATATAAAATTTAGTTGCTTCTTCAATAAAATTTTAACTATAATTAGTAAAAACATACTAATCGAGAAGCTTCCTTCATATTAGAAAAGTCCAGCATATGTTACTTATATAACATAACATAATCCAAATGTGAAATGAGTAAAATATTTTACTAATATATAAGCAGTAAACCAAATTTTCAGTAGTTTTAACTTCTATAATTTAATAAGAAGTCAGTTCATCATATACAAATAGGCTACTCAATAAATCCATCCAAGTGAGTGCCCGAATACCTGATCTACAAATTCTTCCCAGAAATAGCTAAAATCATGTTCTTCTTGCATGAAAAAAGTACTAACAAATTAAAGTACAATAAGAAAAGTAATTGTTAATATTGGGGTTTTGGACAAATGAGATCAATTATTCGGAACTCTTTTATCATTACTTTCAATACTATTTTAAGTATTATTTAATTTATTTATTTTTAAATTAATTCAAAGTATATGTATCCTTACACTATCTCTATTTTCCTCTTTACACGGTTTTTTCCCTACTAAGTTTTTAATTATTTTTTACATTAATGTTTTAACTATAATCAAAATAATGTGTCATATTTTATTTTAAATCATAACTTTGAATTAGAAATTTCGAAGTTATGATTTACGAAATTTCTAATATTGATTTCTAATCTCAAGTTTAAATAGTTTTTCCCTTCCATTTCTAATATTAATTTTTTAATATTTTTCTTAATTTTTCTATTATGCTATCAAATATACAATATTA